CACTACGCTACCAGAGCTCCTTGTACAAGTTTAGAATTATTTAATTTTTGTGGCATATTGAACCTTTTAATATTATGTGGTGGTGGTGGTGGTTATGTGCCATGGAGTCAATTCCGACTCATAGCGACCCTGTATAGGGTTTCCGAGGCTGTAAATCTTTATGGGAGCAGAAAGCCTCATCTTTCTTCCGCAGAACAGCTGGTAGTTTCGAACTGCTGACCTTGCAGTTCACAGGCCGATTCATAACCACTACGCTACCAGAGTTCAATATTATAGTTTGACTCTAATATGTTTTTTCCATTAAAGTTTGTTTTTTTGTTTGTGTTAATATTACTAGAGCTTTCTTTTTAAAGTATTTAAATGGTGTATCTTTTTGCATTCTTTTCCTCAACCATTCTATGCTCTACGGTTTTGGTATGTCTCTTATACACATATATCCAGTCTGGAAATCTTTATCTTTTGACAATCTCAATGAGTCTACTAATAGAGATTTTTGACATATTTTAATTTGTCTCTGTATTTGAACTGCTTTGCTATGATATTTTTTAAGCTACTTTTCATTGGTTATATCAATATTATTATTACTCTGAACTCCATTTCTTTTTTTTTTTAGTGATTACCCTAAAAGTTTTATCATGATAAATACCTAAACTCCTCTTAGAATAATTCAAGGCTTGGTACACCTAACCTCCAAATAGCCCATTCTCCAGCTATATGATATAATCCATCTTTTTTTTTTTTTTTTTTAATTTCACAAATTGGGCATATTTGTAGTACTATTGAAACTGTATTGTTGTTGTTAAGTGCCATCTAAATGCTTCTGACTCATAGCTATTCTGTATAGGGTTTCTAAAGAGCAGCTGGCAAGTTTTGAACTGCTAACCCTGTGGTCCAGTGCTTATTCTACAGTGTCACAACAGGAGTTTGTATTGCATTATAATTATTATTATCATGTTTTATACAGATAAACCTATAAATTTAAGTGTTTTCATTACTCATTATTCTTTCTTATGTCTCAGGCTGTCCTTGTATCATGTTTTTTCTTACTAAAGAATATACCAAAGACATTTCTTTCCAAAGAAAACCCTGTTAGTGATATTCTTTTGTTGTTATTTTTCTGGTGATGTCCTGTTTTTTTTTTTTTCCATCAGTCACTCCTATACACAGTTGCTCTGAGTCAGAACCAACTTGACAATATTTAACAGCCACAACATATGAAAGATAGTTTTATTGAGTATATCATTTTTTATTGTATTAATCAGAGTAGACTAGCCACTTTAACAAACATCCCTAAAATCTCAGTGACTTAAGATAATAAAACTTGATTGCTCATTCCAATGCAAATATTCCTGGTTACTTGGCTCTATGATTCAGGTTCTTCATTTGATGGTTCCATTATCCCCAAGAATTTCAGAGTTCTCTTTTGGATCCTTTGCATTTTACCAGACAATGAACAAAGAGAGAGAACATCATGGGGCAATTTCAGTGGCCTGTGTAGAAGTAGGAATATCACTTTGGCTCACGTTCATAGTCTCTCTAGAAGGAAGATGAAACAAACACATAATATTGCTCATCACTTCGGTCAAAACCCATTGTCCTCTAGTCAATTCCAGCTCATAAACATCTTATAGGGTACAGTAGAACTGCACCATAGGGTTTCTCAGGCTTTAATCTTTATAGCAGACCACCACCTCCTTCTCTGACAGAGCAGCAGGAGGGGTTCAAACCACTGGCCTTTTGGCTAGCACTAAAACACGAGGGCTCTTTCTAACATCTTGGTAGTTATTTTCTCTCATCTATTTTAAGGTTGTATTCCATTGTATTCTCAATTTCACTGTTGCATTAAGAAGTCTGTCTGTCAGTCCTTTGTAAGGAATCTGTCTCTTCTTTGTTTAATTTGTTTCTTCTTCAAATAAATGTATAAACTTTCATTGTTGTTGTGTGTTTTTTTAACCACTGTGTTTTCTGTTCAAACAATTACATTTTTTCATTTTCAGAAGTCCCTGAAAGGTTGTAAACTAATCTACATTCCAAATCTGCTATGATGTTCTGGTAGTCTCTTGTTTGCTTATCTTTGTGATTCTACAGTTTAGTTGTCTGAACTTTCACATGTACTAGTTGTTGTTGTTGTTATGTGCTATGGAGTCGGTTCCGACTCATAGCGACCCTGTACAGGGTTTCCGAGACTGTAAATCTTTACAGGAGCAGAAAGCCTCCTCTTTATCCCACGGAACAGCTGGTAGTTTCAAACTGCTGACCTTGCGGCCCGCAGCCCGATTTGTAACCACTACACTTCTCTATTCTCTTTCTTCCCATTCCATTATCTCCAACCCTGAGGAGACTCTGACTTTTGGTGACTTGCCTTCCTACGTACTTAGGGATCTTTGTGAACTTATTGTTTGATTTAATTTTGGTGAATCCTGTGGTTCTAAAATGTGAATACCTTCCTCCTGAGAAAATGTGCTTTTTCCCCTTCTGCTGCTGTACTGACCTTTGGTACTTAAGCCTTATTCAAGGGTCTAGGTTTAACACAGTAGTCCTAAGCTCAGTTTACTTACCTTGCCACTAGTCTTTTTGAAGTTGTTTTAGGCATCAGCATTCAAGACAGCCCGGCTTTTGTCAAAGCCTCCGCTTGCTTTGACAGTTGGTAGAATCAAAGAAGGAGAGTTAGAAGAGTCTGCAGAGGATATCCTTGGAAACTACTCTGCATCTTGCATGTCTAGCAATTCAGCAAGTATGTTTTGTTCATTGATCTAGTTGTTTTTCTGTACAAGGGTCTCTCAAAGCATCTAGTCTGATATACTACTTCAAGCAGAAGGTGAGATCTAGAAAGTTTTTAACTCGTCTATATTTCTATGCTTTTGAAATCCTTTTAGCCGATATTCTCAATGCTAAGACTGTTTATTCCAAGGGCTACATTTCCTTGTGCTGCTTGTTAGGTCAAATTTAGTCGATAATTGAAATGGAAAATAAGAAATTTGGTTTTTTGGTTTTTTTTCTGTGTTCTGAAATATCTAATGATAATTGGAGTTAATAATGCTAATTTCTTGTTTTTGTTATATTTCTCATATTTTTAGAAGAAAGAGACACTTAAATATCTATTAAATAAACTACACAATTTCTGGGGAGGTAATATCCTGAATTTTCCTAGGTCATTTTGTGGTAGTCTGTTGCTAAGACCTTTTGTCAACCTTTCTTTTCTTTCCGTGGGAAAGTGTATAGATGTTTCTCAAATGAACAGGTTCCTGTCTGTGGCTAGCCCTGTATCAACACTGTAATTGGTAGAGGCTGTTTATTCCTATTGAGCAGAGTGGAAGCTGCTGCAAATGCATGCTGCTTACAAGTGCTTAAACTTACAGCTAATTAAATTGGTTAGGAACTGTAGAGCTTGCCAAGTCTTCAATGCTGAGGCTTTTATAATTGGAATAGAGACTTTGGGAAATGACCTTTTTTGCTGGCATGACATATTTTACTATAAAATGTCATAGGGTCATTTTGGTTTTCTGCTAATTACATATTTAATAAAAGTGTAAATTCGTCAAATTATAGGATTTGGAAATGTTAGCTGGTAATTAATATTTCAAAAAAATGAATCAAAGAGCATATGATTGTTTGTTCAAAACAGTGTTTGGTATTTTGGCTAAAAGCAGTAAAATTATGTATCAATCAAGATTTAACTTTACTCAGTAGCCATAATATAAGATATTAACTGATGTTTGACTACATTTCTAGAAATAGAGTAATGTTTTAGTAATTGTTTTCACTCTACAAATAATATGAGAAAATTTGTTAGCCAGTGTATGTGGCCAGCATATTGCAGCAATTTGCATTTATTGAATAAATACAAAAGCAGATGTCTACGGTTTGTTTACCATTATTTACATTTGTCATATTATAAAAGTCATAACATGAGCATTATGACATATGATTATTTCTTATATAGAGAGATCAAAGTAAGGTGTAGAACATTTATTAAAGTGGTAGAAAACCAAGAAAAACTAAGAAATGAGAATAAGAGATTTTGACTTTAATTAATGGCTGTATTAATATTTATGATTGCAGTCAGTAAATAGTACAAGCAGAAGCTACTCTGAATTCCCCACAGTTTCTATGTAGAAATTTGCGTTTTGTCTACTTTTAATTTGCTTTTGGGTGAAGAATGACTTGTCACTCTAAGCAAAACAGACGGATGTAGAATGGTCCATTTCTTTTTGTAAAAATTATAACACAGTGCATATTCTGATTTTGAAATTTATTGTTTGATTTTATAAAAACTATTGTGAACTTGCTTTTCTTGGAAATAGAAAAATAAGCA